ATAATCTCTCCAATCTTAATGTCTTCATATATTAAAAAGACGAGGGGGTAGTCTAAGCGATCTCCAAAGTTTTTCATATCAAAGTTCCACAACTCCACAATTTTCATCTCAAAGTATTTTGTCTATGTGACATCATTGCAGATACTTTGAGAAATTTCTGGAGGCTTGGATTTTACCGTTTTTGTCAGATGTTCTTGATTCAGTGTAAATAAGACCTTCACTTTCCTTTTCTCTCTTTGTAGGCAAAGTAATAGCTACATGGTCCATGATGAATATATTGAGGACACAGCCAGCCTAGCTGAATTTTCTTTTTGGCTCCCTATCAAAGGAATCAAAGCTGGCTGACATCATCAGGGTGGAAGAAGAGTGAAGAAGAGGCAATGTATTCAAGGGGGACTTAAGTCATTACAAAATTCTCCAGTGACCCTGTGATTTATTTTGTTTCCTTGTAGTTACCACTTTCTCATTTTGACAGATGTGGTTTTCTGCTTTTCTCTTAAGAAGCTTACTGGGCTTCCGCAGAAAGTACTAAAGGGATAAGGTTAAGGAGCCGATTCAGCATCACAGAGACAGATGCCTTATTGTAATTGAACTGAAACCCTAAGACCTTCCATGGGCCAGCTCTTTGTAGGCTAGGTCATTGCCTTATTTTCATTTTTACGCAAACCATTTCCACTTAAAATTCATAATTGACAACATATAAACGACTTTTATTCCTCCCTTAATCTTAATATTGATATGAGTAGTTAGTCTAGCTAAGATTATTCAGTAAAGTGAGAAGGACTTTCACCATTGAGTCATCCCTACAGTGTGGAGAGGGGCACCCTGATGTGATTTAAGTGGTGAAGGAAGGCATATGATCTGCCAGGTACATTTGAAAAACACATGCTCCAAAGTAGCTCCACTGCTGGCCTAAAAAGTGGACAACTTTTGTTTTTGTGCGTCATTCCTTCGGCTCAGAATATTGCTTCGAAATCCCCTCCCAATGTCTTGTCTGGTTTTTATCAGCCATCACTATTACATTGTGAATTTAAAAGTTTAGCAGTCTGGGCACCTGGGTGGCTCAGTCGGTTAAGCATCTGGCTCAGGTCATGATCTCCAGGTTTGTGGGTTTGAGCCCCACGTAGGGCTCTGGGCTGACAGCTCAGAGCCTGGAGCCTGCTTCAAATTCTGTGTCTCCATCTCTCTCTGCCCCTCCCCTGTTCACACTCTGTTTCTCTCTATCAAAAATAAATAAACAGTAAAAAAAAATTTTTTTTAAAGATTAGCAGTCATCAAAAGTAGTCTCGAGATGATAAGACATAGCATTTGATAGGGAGGATGGGTAAAGCACAGATTTACCTATAAATCAGAATTTCCCAATGGATGTTCTGGAGGAGCACTTTTTTTTGAGGAATATTAATGCAAATATTGCAGATTTTTTTTAAAAGAAGATCTGAGGGGCACCTGAGTGGCTCAATTGGTTGAGCCTCCAACTCTTGATTTCTGCTCAGGTCATGATCACACAGTCACTGGGCTCTGCACTGAGCATGGAGTCTGCTTGGAATTCTCTCTTTCTCTTCCTCTGCCCTTCTCCCCTGCTTGCCGTCTCTCTCTCTCTCTCTCTCTTTCTAAAATCAATCAATCAATTAATCAATAAGAGATCTGAGGTCAATCAACTTTGGGAAACAGAATCCAGTGGAACTAAACAAGCTTTTTTTTTTTTTTTTTACTGAGGCTTCTGATGTATTAATCATTCAATATTTATTAAACACAAACTATATGCCAAAAATGGTTATATGTTTGGAATACTCCAAGGAATAAGACAAAGATTGCTCTCTTGTACAGCTTACATTCTAGCAAGATTGGACAGAAAATGAGTGATAAACATAATAAGTAAATTATATAAAACACGGTAAGTGCCATATAAGTGAGTTGAAAGGAAAGACCAGTGCTAAAGTACCAAGGTACCACAGGTAGGGCCACTCCAATATTATGCAATCTGACAGAGAAGGGAGAATCAGATAACAGGACTAAGAAAGAATGACCAGAGAGGTAAGAGGAAAACAGGAGAGTATGGGATCCCAGAAAGCAGGTGAAGAAAATGTTTCAAATAGGAGGGAGATCAGGTGTGTCAATACTTCTAATAGACCAAGCATGATAAAGACTGAGACTAGACCATCGAGCAAGCATCCTTCAAGTTGCTGCAAGACAAGAGTAATTCCACTGTTCCATGTAATGTGAACCATAAATCCCTGACAGGGTTGTAAAATGCCGCGTCCCAAACTCACTTAGCACAGAGCACTTTTTTACAAAATATCTCCAGTGTAGCCACAAACTACTTTGGGAAATGTTGGTGTAGATAATGGTACTAAGTGAAGAGAATAGACCTTGGTAGCCTGGAATGGTAGGATCAAGGGGTCAGGCCCTGCATCTCATGAGAGCACTGAGGTGGAAAACAAACTGTATCACAAGGAAATCCTCCAGCAGCCAAAGTGACAGTAGTTTAAGACCAACAACTCTACTTACATGTCTTCTATTGATTGGCTCTTTGCAGAAGAGGAAAGCTTACTGACCCAGAAATACATGAAAAAAAAAATGCTCCAACATCTGTGAAAATTAATCAAAGGAAACCTTGTTCAGGATGAAATCAGGAGGTCAGCAGGGGGAGCCCTCACACCCTACCACTCCTTGTCAATTGTGGACCCAACAGGAAGAGACAGACCATGCCAGACAACACTCGTTTTTAAATATCCCAGCAGGAGGAAGAAAGACTTTCTTAGAGCCCATCCAGTGAGAGACTGTCACAACTCAGCCAATGAGAAGCCACTACACTTCAAACTCTGTTTATTCCAATGGACTTTTTGTTTACAACAGCCCCTCCCAACCTTTCCTCTTCCTCCCTAAAGATTTCCTCTCCTTTGTTCTGTGGATTTGCCTCTGTCTTGCAGTAGCTTGCTTGGCGCAGATTGCAATTCTCTACTATTCTTTAATGAACCTGTTTCTGCTGGTAAGATAACTGACAGTTTTAAGGTTGACACTTCTCGAGCCAATAGGGAAATTAAAATTAAAACTACAACAGCCATTGGATTAGGTAATATTTAGAAACCTGTTAATACAAATTTTTTAAAAGATTTTTTAAAATGAGGGCTCTCGTTTTCTAGCAGTGGGGTTGTAAATTGGTATACTCACTTTTATGAGCAATATAGTATTATCCAGTAAATTTGAAGATGTGAAAATTGTTCAGCCTAGCAGTTTTACTTCTAGCCGTACAGTTGTGCACAAGGATATATTTACAAACATTCACTGCAGAATTGTTTATAATAGATTGTTTATGATAGAAAAATAAGACATAATGTCCATCAACAAAAGAATAAATAAATTAAATGTTAGTCATCCACGCATTGAAATGCCATATAGCAGTTAAAAACGAATTAAAACTAGAGCTACATCTATCAACATAATAAATCTCTCAGCATAAAGCTAAGAGAAAAAGCTGATTGCAGAAGTAAAAGTATGACACAATTTTTATAGCTTTTGAAACATGCAAAAAGGTTGTATGTTATTTATGAATATATACATGTAATAGTGTAACTTTTTATGATGATAAACACTAGAGGATAAGGGGAGAGGTAAGAATTTATTACATCTTTCTGTATATTTGTAATATTTTATATTAAGCATATATTTTAAAGAGGAAAGGCATGCCTAAGAAGCATACAAGAAGGTTTTAATACATTGGCTAAGAGAAGATGTAACCTAAGTCAAAATAAATTAATGTGGTAAAGCAATAACCCAAGATACAAGGTGTCAAGGAGACAAATCAATTCTGGGAAAATTTAAGAATTTCCTTCACATTCTGTTTCTGAGAAGAAAATGGTATTTTTCTTAAGTCCTGGTAAACAGGTCAACTGTTGCTATGTTGATCACCTTGTGATATTCCAGCTGGAGAAATTTAATTTCACTGACATTCTCATTCTTTGGAACTTTACAGACTTAGAGGGAGTGTTTCCTGGGGATATTTCTACTCTATAGGTGCAAAGAACTTTTAGGAATGCTTGTGGCCATAATTTATCAGTGACAGTGTGTTTCTTTCCCACTGCCCAAGGCTAATTTTGTTTTTATTTATCGGGCTGTTTACCATATTAAATCTTAAACTGAACCACTTTTGCTTTCAATGGAATACACCATCATTTTAAAATATGATTATTTGTTGGGGCGCCTGGGTGGCGCAGTCGGTTAAGCGTCCAATTTCAGCCAGGTCACGATCTCGCGGTCCGTGAGTTCGAGCCCCGCGTCAGGCTCTGGGCTGATGGCTCGGAGCCTGGAGCCTGTTTCCGATTCTGTGTCTCCCTCTCTCTCTGCCCCTCCCCCGTTCATGCTCTGTCTCTCTCTATCCCAAAAATAAATAAACGTTGAAAAATAAAATAAAATAAAATAAAATATGATTATTTGTTTAACAAAAATAATAAGTTATTGTTTTTCTATGTACTATGGCAATCTGTATGCATATAGGGAGAGAAAGATTCATTTCTGGTTAAAAAGGTCCTCCAAAGCATAATTAAAATTAAATTAATCATCTTTGTTCTTTTTAAGCATATTATTTTGCTGAATCATTAAATATATTCAAATGATATTGTGTTGGATTAAGGGGATTTAATGCCTTACCTCACTTCTTTGTCGGCCGGGGACCAGACTGCAGCTGAGAGTTTATTGAGTAGGGGATCAAGCATCTCACTAAGCACCTTCCCAGGAAAGAGGGACTAAAGGATGGAAACTGAAAATGAAAAGATCTGCTTTGTTTTCCTTAAACTGCTGATGAGCCAGACAGATGTTTGCCTGTAAGTGATGTGAACCTATTTAATCTACTAAACAAACCACACCATATTGAAGGCAATGCCTCTCTTTTTTCCTTGAAACCTTCTACGTGGCACTCTGTTTACTTGTAAAGAGCCACATGAGGAAACAATACTGATAATAATATTGGTTGCGTCCATCTACATTCCTTTCTTTTGGAAGAGATGATCCTGGCTTCCCAGTTGGTCTTCCTCACCTGTATCTGGATCACACTGACGCCAGATGTTTTTGCTGCTTCCGAAATCAAGAAGTCCTACCAGGGATGCTCCGCTTCAGTGAAGAGAGCCCGGTAAGATAGTCAGAGTCTAGTCTCTGAAGTCATTGCCCACTTTCCCTCACCAGCTGCCTCACACCTGTGGGAAACCTAGAAACCAATCTCCATTGTATTGGGGTGGTGATTGTCTCTGGAACTAGCGATCACCCATCAAAATTAATGACTTCTGGTTAGCGTTAGAAAGATGCTAATAAATCTTGGGTTCTGCTGGCAATTGTATGCTTATTTTTGGAGAATACAATTACGGGCTCAGGTAGGGATCTTCTTTCAGGGAATGTATTTCTTCAATGAATAATGTATCTATTACTATTAATGACACATGTTTAAAGTTTTGTCAAGTTTTTTTGAGTAGAAATTAGTCTAAGCAACAACTTCTAATGTCAAGCACTTAAAGAGTATATAGTTCCTTAAATTGGTAATATAGTAATGAAAAGCATCAGACCATTTGTTATCTTTCAAGACGAGTTTCCATACCTTTGAAATATTATCCTGAATGTCAATACATCATTATTACTATCTTATCATCGATAATTGAGAGCATATTTGCAAATGCCAGTGGAGGAGCAATCTAGTAGAGTGACTAGTTCATCCTGCTTTGCCAGAAACTCCCCGGGTTTTAGCACTAAGTGTCCTATGAATCCCTTCTGTCACAAGCAAACAGGAATGACAACTCACCCTAATACTCCAGTATCTTTAATAAGCAAAAAGTGACCTCTTGTTCCCTTTCACCACGCACAAGATTTTCAAAAATACCCAGTAGGGGAAATTGAGGAAAGAAGGTGAGTAATATCACTCAGCCAATCTTGGCAATCAATGAGGTGACAGATGTTTCAGCCAGATTGCCCTCACATCTTGAATATTTATGAAGCAGTCACAATAATATCAGGAAAAAGAACATAAAAATTTAATAAATCCTTGTGAAGCCTCAGATTTAATGATCGGAAACAAAAGAAGTGTGGAGAGGTTGGGAGGAAAAATTTACTAGACTCCTTCCTGATTTCTGCTCTGTTCTTAAAAATCACGGGCCACCTCCCACACTTTTTTTGCATGCTCAGATCTGAGATAATATGAAGTTTCATCCAGTTTAACCACCTTCTGAGTCTTATTCAAGGCAATTAAGAAAGCAATATTTGGGAAACATGGGGTTATAACACCAGACTGAGGAAAAGGGGGATTGTGATAGGAGCTAACCCATCACACTGGCCCACTATCAGTGATAGAGTTGCTGCAGGATAATATTCTTTGTGTATTTTTCAGGTGTTCTTTAAGGGGCAGGAGGGGCATCAGTTCTTTGTGGTGAGGTGGGAATTTCTTATGTTAGAGGTCTCATTTTTAGACCCTATTTAAATGAAGAGGGCATCTCAGGGTTTCTGCTACATGGGGTCAAGCATGTCTGTTTTCACTTCTCTGTATCCAAGGTGAGGTACCCCTTTCAGCATTAAGCTGGAATATTATTCATTAAAATTTATATTGCTTTCTTTTATTCTTCAAAGAAAAATCCTCTAGGGCACTAGGGATTGAGTAAGCCATCAACCCTGGTTCAAAAGTAGCCACTTAGAATGAAAGCCAGTCATTTTCCCTGACTGAACAGAGTAATCCAGCCAGCCAATTTCTGAGCTGTCACTCGCCAGTCTCTCATGCAGATTTGAAGGCATTTTTGACAAAAACATGGAAATTACTGTATATGGTAGTTTCTAGAGTAGGGAGCCCAAGATTCTTCAGACCTCAGTATGTGAATAAATACTGTGAGGTTCTTTGCCCCACACCCAATCTCATTATCAGTAACTAAATAAGTAATGATTTAATTAGTTAATAATCCATTCTTTCATAACATAAGCGAACTAATAGAATGAACATGGAAGAAAGTCCTGATCTTTCTTTGAAAATTATGAAGTGGAATTTACATTACTTTGCATTTATGCGCATTAATTTGAGCCAGTTTTCATTCAGTCGGGTCTTTAAATGCTTTGCTATTATTTTTTTTTTCAGAATATAATCATACTCTTTACCCAAAGATTCCCTTTTTTATCCAAATATTGTTGAAATCTTCTACCTAAAGATATCCTTTGTTTCTTAAAAACAAAATAGGAGGAAAAGGGGAAAGGTGAATAAAGCAAGTTTTGGCAGGTGAAAAATGTCCCTGTTTTGCCTAGGAATGAGGTTTGGCTCCCTGGTGATACAAAGAAGATTAGGCATATAGGTTCACTGAATATTTATTCATTCTTCTAATGGTTGTCTTGGGTGCCCTTTATATGCCAAGTCCTGGGTCAGGGATTATGGATGCCAGGGGAACAATATGCTGTCTCAGGTCTTAAGAAGAGTGAGTAGAGTATGGACTCTGCCTAAACGGGCTTGCAGGAGATAATTGTCACATTTTCAGGAAATCTACTTGCTAGCTGTTAAAAATAAACATTATTAAAAATTAAATTATATAAACATACAATTAAATAATTTTTAAAAATTTTTTAAATTTTTTTTTTTACTTATTTTTGAAGGAGAGAGAGAGACAGAGAATGAGCGGGGGAGGAGTAGAGAGAGAGGGAGACACAGAATTTGAAGCAGACTCCAGGCTCTATGCTGTCAGCACAGAGCCCGACGCGGGACTCAAACTCAGGAACCGTGAGATCATGACCTGAGCCGAAGTCGGACGCTCAACCGACTGAGCCACCCAGGCGCCCCAAAATAAATTTTTTTTAAAGTAATAAGTACTTCAGACTCACCACTTTCTAACTCCTTTACTACATTTTACCGTTACCATTGTTCTTTAGGTTATTTACATCTATTCTATCTATATGGTAGAAATCCATGCTATACTGTGTTATCCTATCCTATTATAGTAAATGATGTTAAATCATACTACACCATATTATGTTATATTATATCATATTATATCATATTATATTATACAGCCCTACACCATGGGCTATGCACAGCTCCATCAGGTCAGTACCTTGAAATCAGCCATGTGGGAGTATTTACATCATGGAAATCAGCAAACACTACAAATAGGGCTGTTTCTCTCCTGGAGAACAACTTGTTAAACATTTACGCGCATTTGTGAACCTAACATGAAAGGCCAGAGGGCCCTAGCGATGGCAAATTCAAGTGCTACTGCAGGTAAGACAGAGGGCAGTGGCACAGGTTGTACTACTAGAGAGGATACACTGCTTTAGACGCAATACTGGTCAGGTCCAGCCTTTTCTTGTAAGAAAACTTGAGCCCAGTGTTGCTAGATTCTTTGAGGTTGTAAAAGAAGCAGGAAATTAAGATTTTCACATGAAATTTTCCAATATCATATACCACATGGGCTAGTCAAAAAAATATCTGCAGACCAGCTCCTAATCTGGTCCAATTTCCTCATTTCCCAGGTAAGGAAACTGAGACCTCACCACTGAGCTCATGATCAGATAGAGGCCCAAGTAAGACACAGGAACTATCGTGTCTTAAGTGGGGGCCTTCTCTCTGGCTGACTCTTCCACAGAAACGTTCATCTGTATAGGTTTTTTTCTTTATAAGAGATGGGCTATTGACTAAAGTCAGGTATGTATGTCCAGAATTCAGGAGCTCAGGAGCAGTTCAGTCAAAGCCAGAAGATTTGCTCTGTATAGTGCACCATGTTGTCCCTAAGAAATAGCAAAAGCATCAGGGACCTAGATATAACCATTGGATCCAGAAGTATGAAGGTTGTCTTAGTGATCAAAGCCTGGATCACCTAATTTTCCTACTACTTTATTGCGTCCTTGGATTTGTATCTATGTAGCCTAATAGATCATTTTTGCTTCATTTTGTATTTTTCTAAAGAAAAATAGTTAAGTCTATGCAAAGTTTTTTTTTTTTTTAATTTTTTTTTTCAACGTTTATTTATTTTTGGGACAGAGAGAGACAGAGCATGAACGGGGGAGGGGCAGAGAGAGAGGGAGACACAGAATCGGAAACAGGCTCCAGACTCTGAGCCATCAGCCCAGAGCCTGACGCGGGGCTCGAACTCACGGACCGCGAGATCGTGACCTGGCTGAAGTCGGACGCTTAACCGACTGCGCCACCCAGGCGCCCCTATGCAAAGTTTTTTAAATGTTGCCTATACATTATTTGAGACTCCTGGGCCTCTATGTGTACTGGTTCATAATAGAGCTTCAGTGAGAAAAAAAAGTCCATGTTAAGCAGCAGGACATGCTTCTAGAATGACAAGGAGAATGGAATGATAATGATGAAGTTTTGGAGTGGTGGTGGGGGTCCAGAGCCAGTAAAAAGAATTCTCGAGACATCTGTAGTGCAAAAGATGACTTTATTAAAGCACGGGGACAGGACCTGTGGGCAGAAAGAGCTGCACTGGGGTTGTGAGAAGTGACTGGTTATATACTGTGGAGTTGGGGGAGGTAAAGGCAAAAGGGAGGCCTCCAGAAGGATTTTCATATGCTGAAGAGGACTCATAAGATGCCAGGGGCCTTGCTATTGTCAAGCTAAGGTTGTTTTTGATCTAGTAAAGCATGAAGCTTAAGACAGTAGGAGGTTCCTAGAGAAAGGTTAGCCTCTGCATTGCCTCAAGTATTTGTCAATGGGGTACAGGTTATAAAGAAATTTAATGTTATTTACATTTTCTTCTTCACAGTTATTCCCAACATCACTGTGGAGGGGAGGATGATGCTAGGGCTCCAAGAAACTTGAGTCTATGGGTTTCGGGAGGGTAGGCTATTGACAAGATTGCCTTTTTCTTGTAATTTACGAAGACATTTATAAACTGATGAAGACTTATGTCCTGCATGACTATGATCTCTACCAGTTAAACACTGGTTTGTGGTTTTTTTTCCCTTGTTTTGTTTTTTTTTTTCCTTTCCTTTGTTCTTGGGCAGCCAGGAGTGCCTGAGGAATGTAATCCCTCCTTGGAAGGTGGTAGGTTGTTAGCTTGTGCTTTGCACTCAGCTTGCCTTATGCTCCCCCATCAACAAGGTGGAGAACCATGCCTAGATCTTTATTTGGAAAAGATCCAAGATGGCAAGTCCTCCTTGTTCTAGATA